GAACATGAAAAGTACGAACATGAAAAGTATGAACATGAAAAGTACAAACATGAAAAGTACAAACATGAAAAGTACAAACATGAAAAGTACGAACATGAAAAGTATGAATATGAAAAGTACGAACATGAAAAGTATGAACATGAAAAGTATGAATATGAAAAGTATGAATATAAAGTATGAGCATGTGCAGCATCAATACTTAGCTGTTGCTCCTTGTATCTGGATCACTGCATCAATGCGTCGTGTCATGGAGTGGATCAGTCTGTGTCTCTGCTCAGGTGTTCTGAGAGTCCAGGTTGCTCTGATCGTGGCCTTCGGCTCTTCTGAATTGTTGGCTCTGGTGTATCACATCTTCCTCTTCACAACACCTCATAGATTTTTTTATGGAGTTAACGAGTTTGCTAGCCAGTTAATAACAGGGACACCATGGTCTTTAAACCAGGTACTGGTGTCATTGGCACTGTGTGCAGGGGCCAAGTCCTGCTGGAAAATGAAATCTGCATCTCCATAAAGTTGGTCAGCAGCAGGAAGCAGGAAGTCTCTAAAACTTCCTGGTAGATGCTGCGTTGACCCTGGACCTCGGAAAATACAGTGGACCAACACCAGCAGATGACATGGACCCAAACCATCACTGACTGTAAAAACTTGACACTGGACCTGAAGCAACGTGGATTCTGTGCCTCTCCTCTTCCTCCAGACTCTGGGACCTGGATTTACAAAGAAAATTCAAAATGTACTTTCATCAGAGAACATAAGTTTGGACATGTCATCTGCTGGTGCCACAGACTGATGGACTCCACGCCACGCTGCATCGCTGCAGTAATCCAGAGCCCCAACTATTGATGCTGCACATGTTCGTACTTTTCATGTTCGTACTTTTCATGTTCATACTTTTCATGTTCGTACTTTTCATGTTTGTACTTTTCATGTTTGTACTTTTCATGTTTGTATTTTTCATGTTCGTACTTTTCATGTTTGTACTTTTCATGTTTGTACTTTTCATGTTTGTACTTTTCATGTTTGTACTTTTCATGTTCGTACTTTTCATGTTCGTACTTTTCATGTTCGTACTTTTCATGTTTGTACTTTTCATGTTTGTACTTTTCATGTTTGTACTTTTCATGTTTGTACTTTTCAGTTGGACAGCATTTCTAAAAATCCTTTTTTTAATTGGTCTTAAGTAATATTGTAATTTTCTGAGATACTGA